GGATATCCTAGTCCTCGAGGACACGAAAGAAGCCGGAACATCATCTGGGGCAGGCAGCAAGAGCAGGAAGCCGAAAAGAACATTGGTTGAAATTCGTGCAGAGAGAGATCTCAAAGAGAGGGGGAAGCAAGCCGTGAGGAGGATGCAGATAGACTTTCAGCAGGACTTTCAGCCGGCTCATTCCTACAAACTCGACCCAGGCCATTGGCTCGCCTTTCAGAAAGCCCTGGCACTGGGCCGCCTGGACGATCTAGGCTGTCCGCATTGCCTGAACCTGGTGACCAGCAAGGGTGCTCCCATCCCCTTAGACTCGGCTTCCGAGGCAGTAGTGGCATTGGAGGACGAGCCTCTTCTAAAGAGGGAGCGGGCTGGCCAGAAGGACTTCGAGGCGCGGCTGCAGAGGCTGAAAGAGCAGGAGGGGATGATGAACACCAAGCGAGGCCGACGTGCCTCCACAGCCGAGGGCGCACAGGCTCCCTTGCATCAGGACCTTTATCGTTGGCTGGCAGTTCGTCGCCCCAACCTCTACGATGCCGACCCTGACAAGCCCACAGTCCTCTCTTGCAAGATTTGTGGTTCCTCGGTGAATGCTCGCAGAACCTCAACTATCCACTACATACTGCAGCACGAAAGCTACGACTTCCACGTGGCAGCTGAAGCGGCAAGGCACTCCGGGCGAGCGTGCACCGGAGTGGCGTTGGTGGAGGGCTTGGGTGTGCAAGCAGCTGCCTATGCCTCATCCTTTTGGTCCTGGGCTGCGAATCGTTTCCCGTGGTCTGGCAACGAGGTTGCACATGCTTGCCGAATTGAGGCAAAAGAGACCGTGCCTGTGATCCGGGCCCAAAGCTGCATTGACAGCTCGGCACGGTTCGTGCCATCGCAGAAGACACTGGCATGCTCTGCTTGCACTGACCTCGCCAACCGCATGTCGTTCATCCAGAAGGTCTGTCGGTGGTCCTACTGCATCGACTTGTGCCACCTGCTCCAGGTGTCCGCGGAGAACAAGAAGCGCATCATGCAGCACGATGCCATGGCTGATGCAGACTATGTCCCATTGCTGGGTTTAGGCACGGAGCTCGCGAAGCTCCGATCCATGAGCCACTCGCAGCTGTACACCCACATGGACCGCACCTTCCTCTCAACCCCACACAAGATGTGCAACCAGGCGCTGCTGCAGCTGATCGAGACCCAGGTGAGCTGGATCCCGCGACACCTCAAGGAGAGCCCATCCAAGGACATCATCCTGCGGGAGTGCGACTACTACGTTGGACAAAGCCTGGACAAGGCCGCAGATGCGGAGAAAGGACTTGCCCAGTTGATCCTGAACGGAGTGCTGCGGCAGGACGAGGTGATCCAGACTCTGGTTACTTCGTTGGTGGCTAAAGCTGATCGACTGCAGCAGGGGAAGAAGCGGCTCACCTGCAGCTCGCTGCCCGGAGTGACGGAAGCAGCGCTCCACGAGGTCGGGTTCGCCCTGGCGGCGCACTCCTCGAGCAGCGGCGGGCTGCTGCGGTTGTTTGGGTTAAACCCAAAGGGCGTCGGACAGATCAGCTTCGAGGAGCCAGGGATGCCATACCTGCTTTGCCCGAGCACAGAGCCTGGAGATGGAGTGGGCCAGGTCTCACAGCTGGCGACCAATGCGGCTTCGGCTTTATCTCTGCTGCAGGTCCGAGGCTCGAGGAATGGCTGCTTGATCTTCGACGAGACAGTATTTTTCCCAAAGTACTGCTTGGCCTATCTCCCGTCCGGTCCGGCTTTCGTGGGGGGGGCGCATGAGAGGGCAGTCATCCCAGCTAGCACATGCCCTTCGACTCTGAAGCTCACCGAATTGGCCCAAGAGACGTGCTTCTTCATGTTGAAAAGGGCGGACTCCAGGCAGCAGGTCTACACCATCCGAGTATTGCCCCGACGCAAGAAAAGAGTGACCTGGCAGGCTGTGCTTGAGGACACGGCCGCGACCTGGA